ATATATATATATATATATATATATATATATATCCAGATGTACACAGTAGAAGAGAAAGCAGGGGAAAGGTGAGTATTAGGGAAATGATAGCAAAAGACAGAGGATGAAGAGCAAGGAAATAAACAGAGCTGTTGGGCTTTACTCTTGGAAGCATCCACTGTATTTACACTGAAAAGAATGGATGAGAGAAGGTTAAGATGATTGCACAGGAATAGCTGAAAGTAAGTGACTTTCGACACTACATGATCTCTATCAACAGTTGACCAGTGGCTAATCATCTTGCAGCTCAGTTTATTATGGTTTTAACTGTAAGCATGTAGAATCATATAATCTGTGAATTACCTGATGGATTCTTTACCGTGGAACTCTGGAGGCACTGGTTCAAATGAGTCCTCAGATAAATGCTCAGGATTTATATCATTCTCAAAAACTTCATGATGAGTATTTTGATGTTTGGACCAAAATGAAGACTTCAGGAAAAACAATGGTGACTGCCGGTAACCATCTTTATCTAGTTAATCAAGATGTAATACTCATGGCATCAAACATATCATGCCAGCAAAACATTATCTCTATCTTAATGTGGCTTAGATCCGTTCTCAATTTCAGTCATTACCTTAATCACTTATGTTTATAATGGTATAAGCAAAGCATCACAGGAACAATAAAGTTAGCATTAAAGTTTGGCCTAAGTTCTCAGCTGTGGGTCATAGATATAAAAGTGCTTACCAAAGTGGAGTTCAGTTGTAGCTATAGTTGTAGCACTAAAAGAGGACTTTTAGGTGTCTTAGGTGTTTCCTCCCTCTCTCCAATACACATGCATGCACACACATATATACACACTTACAGACATCAATATTGAAATAAATATAATTATTTTAAATTAAGATGTTTTAAAAGAATTCAGTCCATCCCATTAAATAATGAGAGGAAGGAAATTCAGTGAATGGTTTTGATTTTCTTTATTTCCTCTGCAGTCAGAAATACCTCATAAGTTATGAATAAAAGAAATGTTTACCTACTGCCTCAGGAGAAGCAGAATCATATTTAATCCGATTTTAGCCACATATTACTTACCAGGCAAAACTTGCTCCAAGTACAATGCCAATATCAAATAGAGAAGAGTATCAAACACCAGAATAAAGTAAGTGGCTATCATTCTGTAAGACTCTCCAGAGGGATCAGGAAAAATAATACCACTCAAGTAATAATTCATGTCTGTAATCTGAAATTTGAAAGAGTGAAATAAAATAGAAGCTGTAACTGAATTAGATTGGCTCACAAAACAATGAATATCATCCGTAAGGACTGTACTCTTAAAAAAAAAAAAAATTACTAATTTGAGATCAAATGGTCAATACTTACTTTAAAATAGAGAATGTAAGGGCTAGGGAGACCTGATTAATAGAAATGGAACAACTAGAATAGAAATAATGAGAATGTTTATGTATATTGAGGAAATTAACCAGTGTCACTGACCAATTTATGAAGAAATTGTTGAAGAAGAGCCTAAACTGAAAACACAATAAAATATCATAGTTACTGTTGTTAAGTGCTTTGAGTCAGTTATGACTCATAACAACCCTATATAAGGTTTCTGAGGAATGACTAGTGAGTTTGAACTGCCAACCTTGAGGTGAGCAGTTCAGTGCTTATTCTACAGCACCATATCAGGACCCAAAAATATTATTAAAAATAAGTAAATAAATAAAAGTTAGATGAACCTATAAAACTAAATTGTTAAAAAGATGTTTCCCAAGTAAATATATTTCTATATTAATGTCTTTTTCTCTTAAAAAAAAAAAAAGTGCAGTGGAGTTATTAATAGCAATATTGTTATTAATTGCTATTAATAAAATAAAGTCGTGGTCATAAAACTGGAAAATGCTATAAGAGAAAACAAATTTGTTGATGAATACAAATGTAGCTGACAAATTGATTATCAGAGATTTTAAGGAAAGGAAACTGGAGAACCAATAAAACCAAGCAAAATAAATTGTCTGGGATAGGGGCTAGGGAGACTCAGAATGGGCAATGAAACTGAACACTATATAAAGGGAAAATAAAAAAGTAAGCATAAGACATTGCAGAAATGACTTGCTGGGTCTGGGGGCTCAGGACCATAGTTTCAGGGGACAACATGGTCAGTTGGCATAACACAGTCCACAAAAACACCCTCCTTGGGTGAGTAGTGACCGGAATCTTAAAAGATCACGATCAGCTGTCTAAAGTGAAACTGTTGATCTCTCCATATGTGGAAGAAAGAAGAGTGATAAAAATATGAAGATGCATAGATCATCTAGTCCAATGGACCCATGGAACCTGTGAACATCAGTCACCAACATGCTTAGACCAGAACTAGATGGTATCCAGCTACCACTGGATTAACTGCTCTGAAAGGAGTAGTTCCCAGATAGAGTGAGAAGACGTGGAACAAAACTCAAAATTATAAATTTAAAAAAAAGCAGAAAGAGACTGGAGGAACCAGAGACTTTGGCCCTTGACCACCCTTCAAGTCTGGAACAAAGCTCACACATAGGCCCAATTTTCAGGCAAGCAGCAGATAGGTATATAGGAGGAACAACAAAGCTAGTAAGGTATGCTCACCATGGAATGGTCAACCATTCAAGATCAAAAGGACAACATTTACTTAAGGACAAAATTCAAAAGGGTTGGGTAGGAAAGTAGACTGGACATAAGAACCACAGGGAGGCAGTGAATGACTGCTGAAACATGGAGTGGGGGAGCAGTCATTAAGATGAAACACAGAGTAAGATCAATGAATGGAAAAATGATGATCTTCTCTATAAACTTTCACTCAATTCAAACTAAGTTTTGCGTTTTGTTTTTTTAAAGGTACTGCAAATGCAATCCCAATCCAGATTCCAACAACGTTCTTTAGAGAGATGGGAAAAACAATTTCAAACTTTATATGGAAAGGAAAGAGACCCAGGAAAAGCAAAGCACTGCTTAAGAAGAAGAACAAAGTTGGAAACCTTTCACTCCCTGGCTTCAAAAATTACATAGCTACAATGGTCAAAACAGCCTGGTACTGGCACAATGGAAGATATATAGATCAACGGAACAGAAGTGAGAATTCAGAAATTAACCTATCCACATACAGCCAACTTATCTTTGACAAAGGGCCAAAGTACATTGAGTGGGGAAGACATAATCTCTTCAACACATGGTGCTGGCAGAACTGGAAATCTATATGCAAAAGAATGAAACAAGACCTTTACCTCACACCATGAACAAAAACCATCTCAGCATGGATTAAAGACCTAAATGTGAATCCCAGAATTATAAAGGTCATCAATGAAAAAAATAGGGACAAATTTAAGGGCTCTAATGCAAGGCACGCACAGACTACCAAACATTGAGAAAATTGTACAAACAAAAGAAGACAAAATAGATGATTGGGACATTCTAAAAATTAGAAAATTGTGTGCATCAAAGGATTCCAACAAAAGAGGAAAAAGGGAGCCCACAGAATGGGAAAAAATATTTTGCAATGACATTTAAGATAAGGGACTCATTTCTAAAACCTATAGGAAACTACAACACTTCTATAAGAAAAAGACAAATAACCCAATGGGCACAGGACATGAACAGACACTTCACCAAGGAAGACATTCAGGCAGCCAACAAATATATGAAGAAATGTTCACGATCATTAGCCATTAGAGATGCAAATCAAAAGAATGAAATATCATCATAACACCGGAAATAACAGCGAAGTTAAAAAATGCAGAGGACAATAAATGCTGGTGAGGATGTGGAGAGACAGGGACACTCCTACATTGCTGGTGGGAATGCAAAATTTCCAACCACTCTGGAAAACAGTATGGCGCTTCCTCAGAAAGTTGGAAATAGAAATAACATACGATCCAGCAATTCCTCTACTTGGTATATAGCCACAAGAAATACAAGCCATAACATGAATAGATATATGCACTCCAATGTTCATAGCAGCACTATCCACAATAGCAAAAAGATAGAGACAACTTAAGTGCCTATCAATGGAAGAATGGAGAAACAAACTTTAGTACATACACACAATGGAATACTATGCTACCTTGAAGAACAATAAGGAAGCCGTAAGCCACCACATAACATGGATGAACCCTGAGGACATTATGCTGAGTGAAATTAATCAGTCACAAAAGGACAAATATTGCAAAAGACTATTATTGTAAAAGCTTAAAAAAAGATACCCATACTAAAAGGGAAAAAATAATCTTTGTTGGTTACCGGTGGGAGTGGAGTAGGGGGAGAGGTTGTGGGGAGGTGGAGGGAGGTGACAGTGGAGCACAGGGGTAGAAGCAGACACATCATAGTTCAGGTGTTGGGGAAGGCAATACACAAGAAGGGGGAGGGGTGGAAGAACAAGGTAGATAGGGGAACACTGAGACAGGTTTACATGGGCTAGATGGGACAGAGGTAAATAGTGATGCATGCTCAAACTTGGAACAACAGGGCTCTGTGATATAGGGATCTAGGCATAGTCTGAAGAGGGGAAATGATACTAAGACGTTTGACTGTCTTATGAATACTAGTTGCCATTGCCTACTATTGTAAATAGACACTGAGTGGGATAGAAAGGAATGTTGGGAAACATGAATATAGAAAGCTTGTAAGCCCTTCTTCAGTCTATAACTGATTGGAATGCCTAAAAGGGGTTCTAGAACTTGCCCAGTGAAATAGGCCTCTTGTAGAGCCTATGCAGTGTATAGGACCTTAGGTGGAATCCTGAGCCCTATCCAGAAACTTCTGAGGTGGGACATCCCCACCAGAAAGGACAAGCAGACTAGCCTGGAACAGCTAGCGCAACAGAAGATATATCTTCAAAGAAAGATCATCAGGAAAAACCCAAAACAAAAATGGCAGTATGATTGGCTCCTATGAGAATAAGCAAGTTGTTTGCTGGGAAGCCATCAAGGCAAGCAATCAAATCCTTTCAGAACAAACCCCCTTCTACGACTGAAACTCAAAGGGAACACATGAACAAGCATGTAACCTTGCTGATGACCACACTGGTCTACTGGTGAGTGGAAGAGGGGGAAAGACAGCAATGAAGAAATGGGCTGAGTTCAACCACAGTCCATTGACTCCACTGACCTGGAGATGAGACAGAGAAGAGGAAGGGCTGATTGGTCCAAAGTGTGGTGAGACCTGGGGACACCTGAGCCCATGGACAAGGACATATAGTCATAGAGGGCTAGAGCTGACAGTCAAGCATCCCATCCAGCTGATATGAAGTGAGGGGAGATGCACAAGAATACCCCAAATTTGCAGATAGTACTGTTCGACCTAGCCTCGATGGCCTGATAATCAGAACTCGACTAGAGGAAGATAAAAAAGAAAAAATTTTGTTTTTGTTTTTGTTTTTGTTAAAGGAAAAGAGGGTAAATTGCTACAATTTGATGAACTTGACCTATACTCATGGAGGTAGTAGCTCAAAATACCAACAGAAAGGGGAGGAGTCTTCACATTAAGTATCAATGCTGTCCCTTCGGTATACAGGGTAGATAGGGATGGGTAACTTAGACATTGGCTACCTAAAATGAGGGGGCGATAAAGGCACAAAGTGACTGGCTTACAAGGTTTCAAGAGGGAGTTTAGTTTAAGAGTGGGGGTGGGGGGTGTAGGGAGATAAAATCCCCACTGAATAGTTTTCATCTTGTCTAGATGGGGCTGGTAAAAAGAGATGGGGATAAGAGTTTTATGATTCAATAGTGAGTAACTGTTATCATGACTAATTGTGATTGTCACAATTGTAAAGGTAGAAGTTTTGTAACAAAAAACAGGGGAGTAGCTAATCTTACAGTCCAGAAACAGAAGACTCCTAGGACCATCAAGGGAGAAGAGCATAAGCGGAATGCGGGACCTTATCCAGAGAAGCAGAGACACCAGAGATGGAGGCATAGATGGGGACATGGAGAGGAAGGAGTGGCTGAGGACTCCAGATTCATGGGAAGAGAGGGACTGAGAGCTGGCAGCCAGGAGGCAGACTTGCAGAATGTGCCCTTTGGTGGTTTAAATTATTATATATGCCTTAGTGTTTTTTAAAAAAAAGAGCTAAAATGAATTGAGAGAAATACTATTAACTGAAGGTACATGGAGGGGATTATAACCATTGTAATGAAACAAAGTAAATGATTTGTTGAATATAAAACTGATGATCTACCCTGTAAACTTTCACTCAATTCACAATAAAAACTAAAAAAAGATACTGCATAAACTTTAATAGTAAAGATTTGAAGAAGTTATTTTTAAAGACAATGCAGAAAACACAATAGCTAGCACTCACATACTATGTGTCAGGTTCTACGTTGTTGTTGTTGTTGTTAGGTACCATTGAGTCAAGTATTAACTCATAGGGACATTATGCACAACAGAACAAAACACTGCCCAGTCTTGCACAAACCTCCTTACAATCATTGCTAAGCTTGAGCCCATTGCAGCTGTCACTGTGCCAACCCACCTCATTGAAGGTCATCTTCTTTCTTATTGACCCTCCACTTGACCAGGCATGATGTCCTTCTCCAGAGATTGGTCCCTCCTGATAATATGCTCCAAATATGGAGACAAAGTCTCACCATCCAGACTTCCTAGGAGCATTCAGGCTGTACTTCTTCCAAATAGATTTGCTCTTTTGGAAGTCCATGTTACTTTTAATATTCTCCTCCAAAATCATAACTCAAATGCATCAATTGTTCTATGACTTTCCTTATTCACTGTTCAACTTTCACAGGCACAGAACATTACTGAAAATACCGCAGCTTGGGGCAGGCACACATTAGTCCTCAAACTGACATCTTTAATCTTCAATACTTTAAAGAGGTCTTGTGCAGCAGATGTGCCTAAAGCAATATGTCCTTTGATTTCTTGACTGTTGCTTCCCTGAGTGTTGATAGCTGATCTGAGAACAATGAAGTCTTTGACAACTTCAATCTTTTCTCCATTGATATGGATGTTGTTTATTGGGCCAGTGGTAAGGATTTTTATTTACTTTACATTGAGATGCAACCCATACCAAAGGCTGTGGTCTTTTATCTTGATCAGTAAATATTTTAAGTCCTCTTCACTTTGAGCAAGCAAGGTTGTATCATCTGTATATCACAGGTTGTTAATGAACCTTCCTCCAATCCTGATGCCACGTTTTTTTCATATAATTCATTTCTTTTTGCTCAGCACACAGATTGAATAAACATATGAAAAGAATACAACCCTGGGGCATACCTTTCCTAATTTTAAACCAGTATTCCTTAGTTCTGTTCAAACAACTGCCTCTTGGTCTATTTACAGGTTCTTCGTGAGCACAATTAAGTGTTCTGGAATACTCATCTTCAGCAGTATTGTCCATAGCTTGTCATGATCCACACAATCAAAAGCCTTTGTGTAGTCAATAAAGCACAGGTAAACATTTTTCTGGTATTCTTTGCTTTCAGCCAAGATCCTTCTGATGTCATCAGCGATATCCCTTGTTCCACGTCCTTTCAGAATCCAGCTTGAACCTCTGGAAGTTCTCTGTCAATGTATGGTTGCAGCCACTTTTGCATTATCTTTAGCAAAAATGTACTTGCATGTGATATTAATGATACTACCAGATGATTTCTGCATTTGGTTGGGTCCCCTCTCCTTGGAATGGGCACAAATATATATCTCTTTCAGTAAGTTGACCAAGTAGTTGTCTTCCAAATTTCTTGGCATCAGTTTGTTCAAATATTTCAATTTGTATTCCATCAATTCTTGATACTTTGTTCTTTGTCAATGCTTTCAATGCATCTTGGACTTCTTCCTTCAGTATCATTGACTCTTAATCATATGCTACCTCTTGAAATGGTTGAACATAAACCATTTCTTTTTGGTACAGTAACTCTGCATATTCTTTCATCTTCCTTTGATGCTTTCTGCATCATTCAGTATTTTGCCCATAGAATCCTTCAGTGATGCAAGTCAAAGCTTAAATTTTTTTCTTCAGTTCCCTCAGCTTGAGAAATAGTGAGCATGGTCTTCCCTTTTGGTTTTCTAACTCCAGATATTTACACATTTCATTATACTATTTGACTTTGTCTTCTCAAGCTGCCCTTTGAAAATTTCTTTCCAACTCTTTTGTCTACTCATTTCTTCCAATTGTTTTAGCATCTGTACACTGGGGAGCAAATTTCAGAGTCTCTACTGAAATCCATTTTGGTCTTTTCCTTTTTTCTTGTCTTCATAATGATCTTTTGCTTTCTTCCTGTATGATGTTCTTGATGTCATCCCACAATTCTTCTGGTCTTTGGTCATTAGTGTCTAATTCATCAAATCTGTTCTTGATATAATCTTGAATTTGGGTGGGATAGGTGCAAGGTCATATTTTGGTTCTCGTGGACCTGTTTTAATTTTTTTTTTTCAGCTTCAATCTGAACTTATATATGAGCTATTGATCAGCTGTTCTACAGTCTGCCCCAGCCTTGTTTTGACCACAGGGTAGACAATTCAAACTCACCAGCCGCTCCTTGGAAACCCTATACAGGGTTGCTATGAGTCAGAACTGACTTGACAACATTTAACAACAACAATGAGCTTTTCTACCATGTCTTTCCAATGGTGTCAACATGATTTCTGTGTATTCCATCTGGTGAGGTCCATGTGTTTAGTCATCTTTTATGTTTTTCAAAAAAGGTATTTCCAATGAACAAGTCACAGGTCTTTCAAAATTCTATCATGCCATCTCCTGCATCATTTCTATCACCAAGGCCATTATTCCAATGACTGAACCTTCCTCGTTGTTTCCAGACTTTGCATTCCAATCGTCAATAATTATCAATACATCTTGATTGCATGTTTTATTCATTTAAAATTGAAGACATTGGTAGAATTCTCCAATTTCATCACTGGCTTTAGTGGTTAGTGCATAAATTTGAATAATAGTTGTATCAATTGGTCTTCCTTGTAGGTGTATGAATATTATCCTATTACAGACAGCGTTGAAATTCAAGATAGTCCTTGAAATGTCCTTTTTGGGGGGATGCCATTCCACTTCAATTTGTCATTCCAGGTACAGTAAGCTATCTGACTATCAGATTCAGAATGATCAGTACCAGTCCAATCAGGTACAATAGATATATAATAACCTAACAAATTCTCCCAGCTATGCCATAAGGTATGTTCCACAGATGATGAAACTGATGGCTCCAGTGACTTGCACACAATCACACATCTGTTACGTGACAGAATCATGGCCCCTTTCTTTACCCATAACCTCTGTACTATACTGACTGCCTCTTTAAATGAGGATACAAACCAGATATGTCTCCATGTTCACATAATGTTTCCTGGCTAATTTTCTAGGATTTTATAAAGGAGCCACCTGCTTTGCTTATTACTTTGACCAGAAAATCTCTCTCTCGTTCTCACTCTCTCGCTCTGTCTGGTTTTTTTGTTTTGTTTTGTTTTTTGTTTTTTAGTAGTGGGATTTTTGTTTTGCTTAGTAGTGGGATTGGGAAACTAGCTTAATGAAAATGGAGAAGCAAGAATGGAAATAATAAGAATGTTCAGATATCATGAAGAAATTAACCAATGTCACTGAACAATTTGTGTAGAAATTGTTCAATGGAAGACTTCACTGAAGACACAATAAAGTATCATTATTGTTATTTTTGTTCTTAAGTGTCATTGAGTTGGTTCCAACTCATAGCAGCCCTGTATAGGGTTTCCAAGGAGTTGCTGGTGAATTTGAACCACCGACCTTGCAGTTCAAACCTACCTTATGGGCCAGTGCATTATCCTAAGTGTTGTTAAATTCAATAGTAGAATTTCTTAAGATAGAGCCTGAATAAAGATTAGCATCAGATGTTCACTAAAGCACCAGACTCTTCACTAAAAAGATGCTTTAACATGCCACAAATGCAAACATCAGATAATTATGTCCTTACCTGGGACAGTCCAGCAGTGAAGGCAAAAGGACTGAACAGTCCTAAAACCCACTGCAAAGGTGAAGAGAGTTGTTTATAGAGGGCGGTGAATCCCAGACATCCCCAAAAGACCATAAAGAAAAACCCAGCCAAGGCAGTGAGGATAGGCTTTTTTATCAACACACTCAAGAGGAAAACCAATGTTATCTAAAAAAAGGAAGAAGAGTTTCAATTAGTATACATTTTTCCTTTGAAAATCATGATTAGCATTACTGGTTTCTCAAGCCATTAAAAAGTCCTAAAATTTATATAAAACAAAATAGAAACCCAGTGACTATAGCAATATTCTGAAAAAAAAAAAAAAAAATTATTTGCTCATTTATCTGAGCCCTAAGACAAATGGTAGATAAGCACTGGACTGTTCGGTAGTCAAACCCACCAGCCACTCCTTGGAAACTCTATACAGGTTTATTGTGAGTTGGAACAAACTCGACGGACCTTAACAACACAAACAACAGCAAAACAAATTCAAAAGTAAGAGTTTTATCAACTTACCAAAGACAGACCATATAGGATAAACAGTATGAAAATCACCGTGAAGCCAGTAATAACTACAATCTGGATATATGTTATGATCAGGGCCATCAAAGTAGACATGATAAAGAAGAAGCCAGCATACATCAATCCCCAAGAGAGCCTGAGGTAGAAATAAAGTTAATTCAACATGTTCCATACAAACAAATCAACAAATCAAGCGATGTATTGCATTAGGCGAATCTGCTACACGAGACCATTTTAAAATGTTGAAGAGCAAAGATGTCAGCTTGAGAACTAAGGTGTGCCTGACCTAAGCCATGGTATTTTCAATAACCTCACATGCATGCAAAAGCTGGGCAGTGAATAAGGAAGATCATAGAAGAATTGATGCATTTGAGTTATGATGTTGGAGGAAAATATTGAAAGTGCCATGGGCCGCCAAAAGAACCAACAGATCTGTGTTGGAAGAAGTGCAGCCAGAGTGCTCCCTGGAGGCCAATATGGCCAGACTTCCTCTCTCAGACTTCAGGCATATTATCTGGAGGGACCAGTTGCTGGAGAAGGAGATCATGTTTGATAAGGTGGAGGCTCAGAGAAAAGGAGGAAGACCCCAGGGAGATGGACTGGCAAAGTGTCGGCATTGGTGGACTCAAGCATGGCAATAATGATGAGGTTGGCCCAGGATTAGGCAGTGTTTCATTCTGTTGTGAATAGGGTTACTATGAGTCCATACCGACTCGAGGGCACCTAACAACAACAACAATATCAGTAAATGTGTAGAGAGTCAATATACAGAGTGGTTAAGAGTATAAGCTGTAAAATCCAACATTGTTGCTGTTCAGGTGCCTTTTAGTCAGTTCTGACTCATAGCAACCCTGTGCCCCAATACACAGAACGCAGTCCGGTCCTGTGTGATCCTCACAGTACACGGAACACAGCCCGATCCTGTGTGAGCCTCACAGTGCACAGAACACTGCCTGGTCCTGCGTGATTCTCACAGTTGCTATGTGTGACCTTCTGTTGCAGCCACTGTGTCTGTCCATCCCAATGATAGTCTTCCTCCTTTTTTCTGACCCTCCACTTTACCACACACAACGTCCTTCTCCAGGAACTGGTCCCTCCTGATAATACGTCAAAGTAAAAGAGAGACAAAGTCTTACCATCCTCTCTCCTTAGGAGCATCTGGCTGTATTTGTTCAAAGACAGATTTGTTTGTTATTCTGGGAGTACATGGTCCCTTTAATATTCTTCACCAACATCATAATTCAAACGCATCAATTCTATGGTCTTCTTTAGTCACTGTCCTACTTTCACATACATATGAGGCCATTGAAAACATCCTGACTTGGGTCAGGCACATCTTAGTCCTCACACTGACATCTTTGCTCTTTAACATTTGAAAGAGATCTTTTGCAATAAATTTTCCTAAGGCAGGATTCCAATTATACATACTGTTGTTGCTATGTACCGTGGAGTCGGTTCTGACTCTTAGTGACCCTGTACAGGGTTTCCGAGGCTGTAAATCTTTATGGGAGCAGAAAGCCTCATCTTTCTCCCATGGAACAGCTGGTAGTTTTGAACTGCTGTCCCTGAGGTTCACAGCCCGTTTCGTAACCGTTACTCTACCAGAGCTCCATACTAGGATACAATTTATTATAAAACTATGGCCTTCCACATTTTAGCACATGGGAAAATTACCTATCCTTCCATGTAAAACAGATTTCATCATGATTACTCAATGATATGGTTGCCCTGAGAAGTAAACGTGATAATGTACACAAAAGCCTGCTAGAAACAATGCAGCTTGTGATATAGAAGGTAGAAGGGGCCCTGGAAGTCAAGTGCTTAAGGGCTCAGCTGGTAACTGAAAAGTGGGCAGTTTGTATCAGCCTGCCACAGAGCGGGTAAAAGAAGTGATAGGCTGCCTCCATGAACACTGTTGTTGTTAAGTGTTGTCAAGTTGGTTCTGACTCATAGTGACTGTGTATAGGGTTTCCGAGGAGTATCTGGTGAGTTTGAACCACTACCTAGCAGTTCAAATCGACCTTGCAGTCCAGTGCTTACCCTACAGCTCCACACCAGGACTCCATTTCATGGAAACACCATGGGACAGTTCTACTGTGTCCTCTGGGGTCACTGTGAGGCATAATCCACATAGCAACAACAGTTTGGGGTATTTTGTTTTTTAATAGAAAATCGACATTATTAGATTATCTTTACAATTGCAGAATGAGTAAAAGTTTCATACAAGCAGATATAATCCTATTCTTTCAGTAAAGTGTCCATATAAACAATAATGGGATTTTTTTATGAAAAAAATAATAACATTCTGCTGAAGGACAGCACAAAATGCTCCAGTCATGTTGGTGTCACTCTCTCTGACGGTGTCATCCACTGCGGTCCATGCCCCGCACACTCCTGATGACACCCCTGGTCTATGTCAGCTTTTTTCAGATCTGACAGACTCCAGCCAGGGCACAGACAAATGAGAAAGAAAAAAAACGGCTGTTCTTTTAAGTCACTGGGTTTTGAGGTGGTTTATTATGTAGTATTTTTCTGCCAAAAAAAAACAGCTAGCTGATTAAAAAAAAAAAAAAAACACATTTTTTTCTTCAATTAAGTGAAGTCTTACTCATTTTCACCCTCAGCATCTTACAATCTGATAAAGGCCATGGGATGGAATGTGTATAGGAAACACGAGTGAGTGCATCCAGGTGTTTTGTAGTGTTTTTGTTGTTGTTGTTGTTGTTGTTTTCCCACTCTAATGAGTTTGCCTACGTATTACTTTATGAAACACAAAGTTATAACTGCACTTACCAGAAGGCTGACTCTCGGAGACCCATCACTACCATAAGTTTCTTTAATTGTTTTCTTTCCCTTGTAATAGTTAAAGATGCAACGTATACAAAAGGGGAGAAAGATATTATAGAAACAATAATAACCCATTCATTTACAACTGGTCCCTTAGTAAAGAAAGGCAGTGTCCTCATATTTATTCCAATTACTGACATCAGATTCTCCATCACAGAGTGATTAGTTGTGACCTAAAATAGAAAGTTAACAAACAAATGTATTATGTTAACTACAGAAAGAAAAACAACATGTGAAAACCCATATACTTTATATTTCTTTTCACTTTTAGTATTCACATATTCTCAACATTTAAAAACATGGTGAGCAATTCATATCATCACAACCACCTTGATGCCTTTGGGTACTAACTTATATTTGTTATTGGAGTGATTAGCGAATTACTGGTGTGGCATGGGACTACAAGGTCAGCAGTTCACACCCACCAGCCGCTCCTAGGAAACCCTATACAGGGTCGCTATGAATCAGAACTGACTCAATGGCACTTAACAACAGTGATCATGAACAAGTTACTGGGCTAAAGGATGGGAAAACAGAGATCTGGATTGAAATATTTCTTGTTCTCAAGCAGCCTGACATTTTTGTGGAGGAGCAGGAGAAAGCAGGAGAGACCCTCACAACTCATTAAGCAACAAAACCACTGCTTCAAAAGAGACATGGACAACACCGAGAGCACAAGCAAGAAAGAGTTCCCTAAGGAAGTGACATTTATCCTGAGAGCTGAAGGCCACGACCTGACCAAAAACACAAATATTGGGGAAAGGATTCAGTATGGGAAAGAACATTCTGGGCAGGCAGAATAGCATATGCAGAAGAAAGAAGGAACATGGTACAACAGGCATGAAAAGGAGGTCAGTATAGCAGAAGACAACAAAAGGAGCATGTGGATAAGGCAGAAGAATATGTTGTTGTTGTTGTTAGGTGCCACTGAGTCAGTACCGACTCATAGCGACCTGATGCACAGCAGAATGAAACACTGCCCGATCCTGGGCCAACCTCACTACTGTTGCCACACTTGAGTCCATCGATGCTGCCACTTGGCCAATCCATCTCACTGGGGTCTTCTTCTTTTTCTCTGACCCTCCACCTTACCAAACATGATATTCTTCTCCAGTGACTGGTCCCTTCTGACAATATGTCTGAAGTATGAGAGACAAAGTTTGGCCATCTTGGCCTCCAAAGAGTACTCTGGCTGCACTTCTTCCAAAATGGATCTATTGGTTCTTCTGGCAGCCCATGGCACTTTCAATATTCTCCTCCAACACCATAACTCAAAGGCATCAATTCTTCTATGGTCTTCCTTATTCACTGTCCAGCTTCTGCATGCATATGAGGTTATTGAAAATACCATGGCTTGGGTCAGGCGCACCATAGTCCTCAAGCTGACATCTTTGCTCTTCAACACTCTAAAAAGGTCTTGTGCAGCAGATTTGCCTAATGCAATACATCATTTGAGTTCTTGACTGCTGCTTTTATGAGTGTTGATAGTTGATCCAAGAAGAATGAAGTCCTTGACAATTTCAATCTTTCTTCCATTGATAAGAAAGTTGTTTATTCTTATCAATGGAGATGATGACTGGCTAGTGCTGGTGATCGACTTGAAGAGATGTCCACAGTTCTGAGTTGAAACTCAACATGACTAATGGAGAGATTGGATATGATTAGAGAGGCTGAGAGAATTATCCCTGACAACTCTCCAGCTTAGGTTTGAGCAACTAGGTGAATGGCTTTGGCATTCAGTGAGATTGGGAAACTGAAAAAAAAAAAAAAAGTAAGATGAGGAATGACAATTTCCCATTGTTAATTACCCAGGGATTGTTTGGTAGAGTGGTAGAAATGGGAATCAAACCAGGCTGAACTGAGACTAAGTGAAGTCAACTCTTACAAGAAATTTAGCTGTTGAGAGAAGGGAGATAGAAAATGAGTTGAGGAAGAAATATAGAAGGGAAAACTTTGACAATATAGAAGACAATTGTTCAGTCAAAGTCTTAAAGGGAAGACCCTAATAAAAAGAAAGAAGTTGAAAAAGGAAAATCCATATTGTTGTTTCCTGATAAAATTGGAAAGAATGGGTTCTAGCCTATAAATTAAATAAGAAAGGGCCTTAGGATGAAGCCTAAATAGGAAAATATACAGTGGTGGTGGTGGTGGTGGTGGTACATGCTGTCAAGCCGGTTCCGACTCTTAATGATCCTGTATAGTGGGTGCCGTTATTGTTGTTAAGTGCAGTCGAGTTGGATCTAACTTATAATGACCCTGTATAGAGTTTCCAAGGAGCAGCTGGTGGATTTGAACTGCCAACCTTTTGGTTCAAATGGACCTTACTCTCTAGTCCTTTACCCCACAGCACAGATGTGATGGGTGGTAAATCTGTAACTTTACAGTTAGCATCGGGAAATTGGGAGCTGTTCCATCTAAATGGGATATTAACTCCTGGGAGTTAATATCCTGAGAGACAGGGTAAAGGTTGGTGGTGAAGTAGACATTGGAAGGGAGAGACTAAGTAAAGCTTTAACATATGTCTTTGAAACTAGGTACTTACTTCTATAATAGCAGCATTAATTGCAGCTTGAAGAGCCACAAACCCTTTTTGCCAGTACATTGTCAAGTGACAATAAATTTCATCTTGCAAATCCTCACAGTGTTCTTTAGGAGAGAAAAAAACAACAACAACATTCCCATTATTATGCAACAGAGTCTCTTACTGGAATCAAAGTCTTATCTCCTATTTTGACCGTAAGTAAAATGTCTAAATGTCAGCTCAGAGGCCATGATTACACAATCTGGGCCATTTTTATTTAAAGTACTACAAAACTAGAAGAAAGAAGTAGCTTATTGAATGGCTGTCAGACATGGGACTTATTCTTTATCCTGTAGCAAAGACTAGCCACAATGTTGAGGGAAGATCTGTGTTTTACTTCTTTACATGGTTTTATTAATATTTCTGACATGCATTCCCACCTAGGGAAATTGATAAAGCTATCATAAAGATTGGGATAAAGTCTCGTGGAGTTACCTGAATATTCTAAGTGTTCCTTAATAGCTGGAATTCTGTATCCCCAATCAAACTTCAGCTGATATGAGGAAGTACCATTAAATACGATGCCCACTGTCTGAGACAATGCTTCTCCTGGCATTGTATCCATGGCTTCTTCATTAGGTGCTCCAATGATTTTTATTCCTACCATCCATGAAAAATAGAAATCACCAGATAAACCTTATTATGAATGGACACAAAAGCAAAATGCAATTTGTTAAGTTTTCCATGAAATTCTTGGCATGAGATGATGTCCTTGAATAGGTGCACCCTTATTAAAGCTGAACAAGTCTTTTCTAATGATTATAAACAGCAGAAGAAGTTAAGGATATACTGTCAAAAAACAAAGACAATTTTGCAGCATATTATCTTTTATAATAATCCCAATTTGTTTAAGGAAAACGGAATCTCTGTGTATATAAACACACACACACACACATACACATGTTGTTGTTAAGTGCCATCAAGTTGATTCACACTAACAGCAACTCTGGAAAGGATTTCCAAGGAGCCACCAACCTTGCAATTAGCAGTCCATTGCACCATACCAGGACTTCATACACACTGAATGATCACTGGTGTGATGCTACAGGGCAAGCACTGAACTGCTGCTACCCATAAGATTGATGATTCAAATTCACCAGCTGCTCCATGGGAGAAAGATGAAGCTGTCTGTTCCCATGAAGATTTACAGTCTCAGAAACTCTGTATAGAGTTACTACGAGTCAGCAATGACTGGATGACAGGGGTTTAGTTCTGGGATTTATATATATATAAAGGAGCTCTGGTAGCGTAGTGGTTATGAATTGGGCTGCTAACCTCAAGGTTGGCAGTTCAAAACTACCAGCTGTTCTGTGGGAGAAAGATGAGGCTTTCTGCTTCTGTAAAGATTTGCAGCCTCGGAAACCCTGTGTAGGGTCACTATGAGTTGGAACGAACTCCACGGTACTTAACCACAACAATATATATATATATA